ACTCTGTACGGTCTAATTTTTTTGGCAGTAAATTTCTGTTCACCAATACTGTCTTACCTGCCTTGTGATTTGGGGAAGCCTTCTGTGGTCGACGCGAAAACTTGCGACAGTAGTATTCTGCCGCTGCCGCTACTTGAGACAGCTGCGAGGGGCCCGGCGACCGATCCGTGGGCCCGCCCCCGGCTTCCCCTGTTCGCTGTCTGATCGACATACCGGTTTTGAGCGTTCAGCATTTTAAATTGCCTTGGAAGTTAACTTCTGCCCTCGGTAGAGATTAGTAAAAATTAGCAAGCCTTCTTTAACCAAGGCTGGGAGAATAACCAGAGAGCAGTAGAAAATGAGGAAGAGGAATGTAGCATCTAATAATCGTCAGATTAGTAATATGAGCCTAACCGACGGATATAATATAGGAGTTTACGAATTTTAATGATGAATGTTTCACTATGAATAGTAAATGAAAGATTAGACGTCAGAATAGCACTAAGATATCGAAAAGAGCATACATCCTTAGGCAGGATGTCTAAAGATTCAGCAGTGGGAGAGGGTCGCAATCAGAAAACGTACTGGTTAGCATTTTTATTATTAAGTGGAAGCTATTGACTAACGACCGTGCTGTAGTGTGCTCAAAGCCATCCTCCAGAACCTGGAGTTGTGTCTAACTATTGAAAGGATGACTAACTACCATACCATCAACAATCGGCAAGACAGCGAGCTTGTGGTTCAATGGTTAGGGCGTTTGACTCTGATCAGAGAGGTGGCGAATTCTAGGCTCTGGTAGGACACCACTTAGGTCTGGGTATGACTGGCTGATGACGGCTAATAAGCCAGAAATGGCCAACCTAGTCTCCCTTGTCTTTGTCGATAATGTCCTTATGCCAATATTACTCGCCGTCTTGCGGCATAGGCTCGAGTGTGACCTCCAAAGGCATCATGGACGCCCGAGTGTGTCCTCTCAGGTATCGGTGTACTCCTGTCTGCCACTTTACATTCCCGATCAAGAACCGGCAAGACAACGAGCTCGTGGCTCAATGGTTAGGGCGTTTGACTCTGATCAGACTCTGACCTCCTCCCAGAACTACCGCCGACTCCCTAAACCTCCCCACGAGGGACCCCAGTGCTACAAAGGCACGAACTTCAACCTCTTGGTGACCAAGCCGGAAAAGGACGCGAACTGTTCCGTCACAAGTGAACCCGCAACTCAAATCTTACGTTTTGTCTTCAAAGAGGGCATGTGTTAGGAGAGACCCGACGGCTAGCATAGAGGAAGCAAGTAGCCGCGTCCAGAATAGGCTATCGATCGGCCTACGCGTGAGCTAACGCATCGTGCTAGACAATCAATCAATAATTTGAATTTCTGGCTACATTCAGTCACTGAGCCAACAGCCAATGGGACCGGCGACTATTTCAGCAGAGCATCTGATTGGCTCAGAGGACATCGTTTATACTTCTGCATTAAAGCTTAGGACTAACAACCAGCAGCCTAGTTTACATACAAAAACCTGTATTTTGTTAACATTGCGCAGTCTTACCGCTCTGCTGCATAATCTTCCCTTTTCAGGTTGTCGCCAATGTTTTTGCCGGCCAGCAACAACAACAGCAGCAGCAGCCCCACCAACAGCCGGCGCATCCTCAGCTGGCTGCTCACCAACAGCACTTCTATGAAACCACCGCCACCAACTACCAGCACCAACAGAGCTTGCACCACCAACACCAGCTCTTTCTACAACACCACCAACAACAGCAGCAGCA